AATAGTTATAATAAAGCGAATAGGTACAAAAAGAAGGTAAAAGCTTTATTTATCATTTATATATCTATGGGGTTACACACAAGAGAGAGAGAGAGGGAAAGAGGGAGAGAGAGAGAATAAGAAGAAGAAGATGGCCAAAGCTTAGACCTCGTCTGGATACGACGAGCCCTCAGAACCCACGCATTAATGCTACGCGAGAACTGCGACCTCTCCTTCTAGAGAACTCCAATTACTGCTTTCATTTGTTGTTCATGTGCATTTAACTCTTCATTCTCTTATAAGAAAGCCTTGATACGGTTATCTCTCGTGTCCAAGCCCCAGAACAACTCGACCTTCTCCTTAACGTGACTTGCATGGATGAAGCAGAAGCCACCCTTAACCTCTCAGACTCCTGAAGACATTTTGGGGTTGCCTTTGAAGATTGTAGCTTTGAGTAAACCCGCTGGAAGAACTTGGTCATCAGGTAATGGAGTTGCACGACAAACAAAAACCCATATGGTGTTACAAGTGAAAATGGACAAAAAAATATAAAGAGATAAGTTCAAACCTAAGCAGGGTCTGGTACCGCCTTCTAAAGTAAGGGGATCAACTCAAGCCCCCTTGTTTCCTCCAAGATGGCCTCAGTGGTGGACTCGAGAAGGGTGAAGGACGAGATGCGAAGATGCTCTAGAAGGGCACCGATCGCTTGCATAATAGTATCGACCTCTTGAGTTTATTCCTTCTCAATCACCATCAGTCGTGCATTCACAAGAATCTTTGCTTCAACCCCTGGCAGATTCAAAAACCCGACAATAAGAGCACGACGATCACCCGACATGCAGGTAACCATCATGCTCTTCCTCCTAGAGGATTGAACAATAGATGGAGCCTCCTGTTGACCTCTGACATCGCCGCTTCCGTCTTCTAGGTGTACAAGAGACATATGATAGGGAAACAAAGCCCACCCAATGTCTTCTCGCCTTCTACGCAGAGATGAAAGACTAGCTCCGTCGTTGCAAACGATACCATAGCGAAATGTACTACACCAAGCGTCTCTTGGTGGCACTAACGATATCTTAGGAACTTCATTATCCGAAAAGTCAGCGTTTTCTCCATAATAACTGTCGACGGATGACATCTTTACAGTAGGGAAGAAAAAGAACAAGAGGAAAACCCTAAGAAGTTGGCAAAAAAAGCAGTCGCTCTATGAATTCAAAACAGAGCACAAGAAAGAAGCGAAAGGTGATTATCCAAACTAGGAGCATCAACATTTATAAAGGGGGAGAAATGTCGCTTCAATATCCCGAAAACGGCTGCATCCCCTGACGGTTTAGGGTACAGGACGACAAATCATTCATGTCCTATTAAATGCAGTGTCAGATGATGCTTGAAATCTCGCCGGATATAAAAGGTTGAAGTCAAATGAAAAGGCTACAATAAGTGACAAGACTAGATAAGTCAACATTGACTAGGTTAACTAGTTTTGCAGGCTCACTCCGACCCTTGAAAACTAGGAGGCATATGTTGTACAGTAAAAATTTCTAGCCTGGGATCAGTAGAGGAGTTCAGGATATGCTTCTGTTCATGAACATCAAGCTCAAGAGCAAACGTTACAACGAAGAGCACAAACGATCGGCACATGTGTGCGAGCGCGACATGTAACCAGACAAGAAAGGGGGCCCACCACGTGAAAATATCTTTTCACTCAGACAAATCACCTTACCACGTACAAGCAACCTATCCCGATTGACGGCACGTGGCCATGCAAGCTCCACATGCTCTCCATGCAGCCAAGCCGAGAGGAGACCTGTAAAGGCACCTACCGTCAGAGGGAACACTACCATTCTCTATGGCGTAAAGGCATGTGAGCTTCTGAATGTCGCCCAACATAGGATAACCCAACTAATTCATCTATCATCATGACATTTCCATGTCCCCGCATAAATAAAGCCAGTAGCCAAAGGGGAAGGGAGCTGGTCTAATTTTTTCTGGTCTAGGCTCCAATTCCAAAAATAGAAGAAAGAAATACCTCCCTTATCCATTAAGGGGAAATCTATTCTTTGTAATATAAAATCTTACACTTGAATAACATATCAGTGGATGTAGACCTTATTCGTTCTCCAGCCGAACCACTTTAAAAACGCTTAGTTTTTGCACCGTTTTCTGAGAGGCATGCTATTGCCTTGATCACCACCATGTGTGGATCGAGTCGCCTTTGTTGATTCCCTAGAATCACGCACTCATCTTACTTGATTCCTTCCGAGGTCAACCAAGTATTTCTGGTTTGTGTGAAATTTCATCTTGACATTTGAGTCGGTGTGAGATCTTGCATCAACATATATAATGCTACCTAATGTTTGGCCTCATTAGATTTCAGGTTATCAAGAATTAGGTTATGGTTCAATCAAAAGTCCACAATTAATATAAACAGATACAAGTACAAGTAAATATATAGTAATTAAGACTTGAATATTGCATTGCATTGAGCGACAATGCAACAAATCAAATCTTCTCATGTAGCTTTATTTTAAACAAATTTTAGGAACATCCTAACCCCAAAACGGAAAGAAGTGGGAACTGACCTAAAGATGTTACTTAAAAAATGGTTGTTACTATTCAAACCTTTTGTGGTTTGGTGACTGGATAATACACCCATGGACAAATTTTGGCCACCAAGGATCCGTATTCCAAGCAGGAAATATTATGTTAGAAATTAAAGGTTGTGATAATAAAAATCTCCTTTTAGCTGGCTAGCCCACTAGTGGATTTCCCCGAATTATTCACAAGATTGAGCTGCCAACAAAATGAAGTGGATGGTACTCTGTTGTCAAAATGCTTTCTAGCCTAATATTTGCTAACTGTTCTCCAAAATGTATGTCTCAATGAAGGTTCATTTTAGGTCATTAATTTTAATATGTATGAAATCTTATTGAAATTATTTATGTATAGTAACCAAAATTAATTTGAAGCATCAACCCCTCGTAGCTAAATAGACCTCTTTTATATTAAAAAAAAAAAAAAAATCTCTTTAAACCCTTTTTAATACCAAAAACAGTCATCTAAACTTAATTAGGTATTTTGTTTACCCCTTTTTCCCATTTCAAACTTAATTAACGTTTTTGTTTGCACCTGTTTTTCCCATTTCAAATTTAAAATGTACCTCTTTTTCCCATTTAAATTTTAAAACTTACTATTTCTTTTTCAAATTCAGATTCATGTCGTTGTATTATTACTTTCTCTATGGTTTTAGCAATATATTTTCATTATAAAAAAAAAATTACAATAAAACAAGAGATTTTAATAATGATGAATTTTAATAGCCATTTTCCTTTTTGATAAATTTGAGTTCCTTTGCTTAGATAATAGGCTGTCTCCAAATTCTTATTAGAATTCATATTCCAATCAACTTTAATTTCAATTTATCAGTATTTTTATTTCAATAAACTTCAATTTTCATGAGAAGTAACAAAAAAAAAAAAAAAGATTTTTCATCGTGTATATTTAAAAATTAAACAATAATTTAACCCTATTTGCAAGTTTAAAATAAGATTAAATTGAATCATTAAAGAAACCCTAAGCAAGAACATGCGTTATCATTTTATTTTCATTGTTTGATTCCAAAAAAAAAAAAAATTATCAGTGCTTAAAAAGAAATTTGATAAGCATAGATAAATTAGATAACATCATTCTTTACAATTAGGCCGTGTTTTTGAGTCATAAAATATAGAAGCAAGATAGTGATCCACATCATAAAGGAAAGGAGGCCCGGCCTGTTGTTAGTGGTTACTAAGCCCACAGTTTTGTGTACACCTAAATAATCTCCCTGGAGGTAGAGCGTTGTTTCCATGCATTGACTCATCACCCATTTGTTCCACAAGCACACAATATCATCAAAATCAAATGATTTCCGTTTTAAAAATGAATTAAAAGGATATTAGGTGGTGTTGAAAAACCCAATTGGGCATTACGGGTATTTTGAAATACAATACAATCCAGTTGACTTGTCCCAACCTGGAAAGTGGAAAGCATTAAAGTGGTCCCCATTACCATTCCTTCCTTCCTCCCACCTCTCTCACCCCTTTCACATTTATCTTTACAATTAATTTTAAATCTTAAGTGAATATTCATTCATTTATACACTTTGACTTATCACATCTTAATATCCAACTCTACTTTTATTTTTTGTAATTTAATAGAAACTATTTTTTTTTTAATTTATAATGAAATATACATGTAATTTAATTCTTTAATAAGATAAATTTTACCTGAATTGTTTTAATAAAATTACAAGATTTAATAATTTTAAAAATTACAAGAAATTGGTGATTTAGCGGAGTTTGGTAAATATAGGATTATGTCAAAAAATGAGTTCCTTCTTTCTTGGGTAGCCACATGTCACAACATCATGCAAACATAATGTAACAGCCTGTCACATTTCACAACATCCATCTATTCTGAAATGAGATATTCGGACAATTTTAGGTTCCAAATGCCAAGATAAAATATCTTCACAACAAATATTCCTCGAAGAAACGGTAAAAGGAACAGAAACTAACAAAAACTATCAGTAAAGGAGTCAAAACTATAATTAAATATAGTTATCGGGATATTTTATAAGTTGTTTGTCTTAATCATGATTCATTCATGCAACCACAAAATTCTTTTGTTTTATGATGACAACAATCTCTTTGTGGCCGACAAATCACTGTAACTTTAACTTCCACGTCTTATTTCATGACACGTAACACATACCCATCTCAACACTCATGCTATACTATTTTACTGGATAACTACAAAAATAAATAGGAATAGTCAAAAAGTCAAACCATCGAGCTTTTTGTCTTCTATCTTCTTTTCACTCTATGTAGGAACCGTGGTTCGCAGCGGCCCACATTATCCAGCTGTCTGCTGCATCAGACTCCGCGTCCGTGTGCGATTCGCGCCACGTGTCATTTTTCAACCCTCCAAAATCTATATATATCCACACTCTCCCTCACTTTACTTCTTAACAATCAAACTGAACTCCGAGAAACTGCGAAACACTCACCACTGCTTCAAATTTCAAACCCCAACCCACCAATCACACTCAGAGCTCACTCTTCAATGGAGATATACGGTCAATCATCTTATTCTTATCCATTTCTTTCAGTCTCTGCTTCCATGGAGAAGCAAGAGTCGTCATCGTCAACGTTATCCGACGCCAGCTCGGCCAGGCGTGTTTCAGACTCCGACGTGGAAGGGCATTTACTAGCAACAAGCCGGCCGAAGAAGCGAGCGGGGCGCAGAGTGTTCAAGGAGACTCGACATCCGGTTTATAGAGGCGTGAGGCAGAGGAACAGGAACAAATGGGTCTGTGAATTACGTGAGCCGAACAAGAAAACACGTATATGGCTAGGAACGTATCCAACCCCAGAAATGGCCGCGCGGGCTCATGATGTTGCCGCATTGGCGCTTAGAGGAAAATCAGCGTGCCTAAATTTTGCAGACTCTACATGGAGATTGCCGGTTCCGTCTTCGAATGATGCGATGGATATAAGAAAGACGGCAGCTGAGGCGGCGGAGGCTTTTAGGCCTGATGAGTTTGCTGAAGTTTCTGACGGTGAAGTAAGGAATGAAAAAATTAGTCCGAAAGCTTCAACTGAAGTTTCGTGTGACTGCAATAACAAGGAGGAGGAAGTAAAAACGTTGGATGTAAATACGTATTTGCCGGAGAGTGATTACTTTATGGATGAAGAAGCGTTGTTTGATCTGCCGGGATTGCTTGCGGAAATGGCAGCGGGACTTCTACTTTCTCCACCACCTCTTCTTGCTGGAAATGACGTGAATTGGGAGGATGTGGAAAGCGATGACTGCGTGTCACTGTGGAGTCATTCCATTTGAGATTTTTTTTTTTAGCATGTAGATCACTGTGTTTCATTCTTTTAACACTAGATTCCATTAATTAATTTGTTAATTGGCTAGGTGTAAAAGTTGTTAAATTCAGATTTGTATCATATTATTTCTCTGTTACAAATGATGTTACTAGTCTTGCGATTAAACTGTTTGAACTTAGTTGGCTGAAATTTCAATACAAAATTAAGGCACGTGAGAAATGATATGTTGACCACAAAATCGAAACATTTTCAGACTCATGTCCTTGGTTTGATCATTACAAAGAAGATTAGTTTCATGTTTCTACCAAAAACAAATTAAGCATATACATCTCATCAGTGCCAAATGTCAATTTCACCAAGTTACGTGTCACAGTTGTTTACTTGTACAACCTACGAGGGCGGGACGTTAGTCTGTGGTAGATTTTGCAATGTTTGTCCCAAATATAATCAAATCCCACCAATCTCACTTGATTCGTACTCTCATGATATTATTGTTGTCTAAGTTGCAGTGCAAAAGGCTGGTGATGTCCAGTGGGCAGTGAATTAAAGCGGCTTTTAATTTAGTCTGTGGAACCACCTGGGTCCATCCGATTCCACATTTTCTTCTTTAACCTTTGACCTGTTGCTTCACTTACTAGGTCTACACGGGCTTCATTTTTTGCATGACTAATAATGGGCTAATATGAATTGTTAAGGATTTCAATCAAACAAACATGCGGAAATCGTTTATAGTGCATAAATCTCTAATCAAACCAAATTTGACTCACATGTTAAATAAATTTTGTGTTTAACAATGTATTAGGTATCAAGGTTATATATTTTCTATAAAATTTGATATATAAATATAATAATTAACTCCAAGGGGTTGGTATGACGGTTAAAGAGATTTGTTCTATTCTTTGAGTTATTGAGTTCAAACCTCGAGATCACATATTACAATAACATTATAATTTGTCTAATCCTTTAGACTTGTAGAGTGTGTAATGGATTCCAAGGATTAGTTGAGATGTCTACAAACTATTCCAAACACCTCAATCACCAAAAAAAAAAATATATATATATATATATATATACACAATAATGGCACCTGGCACGCAGAATGAAAGCTAATTAGTTTTGAATAATTTTCATGCAAAAAAGCATGTAGCACAATCAAGTAATCATTTTGTTCACCTTGATAGCTAGCAGGCCCAAGGGAGGTAAGACATTGTAAATTTAAAAATCTACTCGTTTTGTTTTCTTTTTACCTTACAAATGGAAACCAAATCATTCGTCCCTCACCACGCATACTTTCTAACACTCCAAAGTTCAAATTACATATAATATACCCTTAATTCAAAGTTAATATCTTTATGATTTTAATTAGTAGTTAGTATTTGGTATCTAATTATATCTTTATGATTGTGATATATCTGTAAATTTGTTTTAATTATTATAGTAAGTTTCTGAGATTAAGTAAAACATAAGCCTCACTCATTGCAACTAGAGATCGGCGTTTACCTCGGCCCCACGGGGATCCAAACCGACCCAGCCAGAATGAGGCGGGGAATCTCCAAAAAAATCGGGGATATGGCAAGGATGGTCCTTAGAAAAATCCTCACACTCGAGGACAAGCCGGGGGAGGGGATAATGCAATCCCCACCTTGTCCCCATGCAATCCCGCCCCCTTTTTTTAAGAATTTTATGTTTTTTGTTTTTGTTCCCTTTGTGAGATTGTATATAAAATTAGAGTTTGAATCATCGTTTTAAGTAATGTATCTAAATTTATGATATTTACTTTTACAATACTTTCTAATGTTTATATTAAATTTATAGAAAAATAATTTAAACGAGAGAGTCTAATAATTAAATATATGTATTATTACTTTGTGAATTTCACAAAATAATAATACATGGCCCAAAAAATTTTTTGATTAGATTATTATAATTTATCAAACCAATATATTATGAGGTTTATGTTGCAGCTTAAATGATGTTTATATTTTATTGCTTTGAAATCCATGAGCATGTTTCAATTTTTGCCAAGAAATTGTTGTTATTCACCATATTCATATTACGAAATTTTCTTTCAGGTATTTATTTTATGAATTTTAGTAGATGAGACTATTTCAGTAGAACGTTACAATGTCTCAGCAACATAAAGTATCAGAATGTGGAATCTAAATTCCTCTATTTAATACTATATAGAAAATGTGTCACTAACTTAGTAACAATTAAATTAGTTTATGGTGGTAGTTATGTATTGCTTTTTAAATTTAAATTTAAATTTTACAAGAAATTGTTGATTTTATATTTTCTTACCTTAAATTTAGTTTTTTTCATGAATTAACTACTAAAATTAAGCAGTCAAATATAGTACCTACTAACATGCTAGTTTCTCACAATTAAAATAATTTAATATCATTATCGTGAGAACATACGAAAAGTTTTTATCTATACGAAGCAAAAATCTCAGCACAAAAAGTTCTCGTTTAGGGGATAAATCCCCGTGGGAGAAATTCCTGATGAAGCCCCGTTCATCAGGTCAGGCTGGAACGGGAATGGGAGTGATTTCATCCTCACAGGTCGAGAACGATCTTGAGAAAAATCCTCGCCCACGAGAACAGGTATGGGAGTGGGTAACGGAGATGAGGGAATGGGGTCCTCAGCCCTAACCCAACCCGCGCCCATCCCTAACTGCAACAAGTTCGCAGTAGATCAGACTTCTAAGATTAATATTTAATAATGGGAAATACTACATGTGAAAAGACTCTTACAAATAATAATTTTTATACAAAATGATACGAAAGTTATCACACCGCTAATTTCACATTAATCTTCTTTCTTTTCACATATTAGTGTCGTGACAACTGACATGTCAGTTTCTATGAATACTCTTACATGTATCATCTCTCTTTAATAATTTAGATGTGATTCTGTTATACAGAAGTTGACGACATTCACACGTGCTCAGCGCGTGAAGAATGGACAATCTAAGTTTCCAAGATTTGTCAAAAGGTCAATTACTGGTCTCATCAGTATACCCTTCCAAAACCTAAACTAAATTAAATTAAACTGTTTGAAATTAAAACATTAAAATAACCAAACTTGAGATTCAAAAACTGAAACACCCTCCAGAAGAAGCAGCATCCAAGCTTCTACCTCTCTCTGAAAAAATCGTCTTCTCTCTTCAGTTTTAACCACCTTGAGATCTTCACCTTAATTTGAACCTAACTCTCACTTTCTTCACTCACCTCCTTCCTTCTCCTATATAAAACCCTTCTCTCTCCACTTATTTCCTTGTTTTGCAGTGATAAGCTGCTACCTTTCTGTACATGTAAATTCATTTTCGCATTAGATGCTCTTCCCGTCTCTCTGTCTTTTCATTTTCATGATACACAATTTCAAACAGATACGCAAAATCTCTGTCTCTGACCTTTTTCTTTATAGCTTCAAATCCGTTAACTTCATTCGAATTTTCTCTTTCTCTTTCTCTAACCTCTCAAAATAATGGCTTTGGTTTCCGATCATCAGCTGGGAAAGAGTTTTTCCACAGAAAGAAGGCCCTTGATGCTTAAAGATTATCTTAGAGACGATCTAAGTTCTTGTTCATCCAACGGCTTCAAATCATTTCCACGTCGACAATGCTGCACAACCGTCAGATTTCTCCTCGAGGTCGATCTCAAAACCAAACACTCTCACTCAAACAAAGACAACACTAAGCCGTCGCTTCTTCAAAGAAGTCGTTCAAAGGCCACTTCCACAACCCTCTCTGCTCTTCACAGAGCTTCGGAGGTTCTGCGTAACGCTGTCAAGCAACTTCCGTTTCCTTCCGTTAAGTCTCCTTCACCGTCCGCACAACACAGGCCCAGAAAAGGATTTCTCCCTAGAAGCTTTTCACGTAAGCTGTTGAAAAGAAGCTTTTGGAGAAAAGCGGCTGATAAAGAAGAACATATAATCAAACGGTGGAAACTGCTCCGAGAGTTTCTTGAAGAAAAACATCAACCGTCCGATCAAAACTCACACCAATTCTCCTCCAGTACGAGCAGTAAGAGTAATGGTAACAGCTGGGCGGAGAGTGATTTCGCAGCGGATATTTTACGGTCATCAAGCGGTAATTCTGAGATATCAAGGGTAAACGACGTCATAGAGAGTAAAAAAGATGTACCATCGGCCGAGAAGAAAGTGGTCAACAACAAAGTAGGCGTATCGGTCGGTGGGGACTCCACCTACTGTGATGAAGATAACACAAAGGTGAGTTAAAAGCTTTTATTCAATGCGTCGCGTGTGTAGTTTAACGTCATCTCTGTCTGTTTGTGCCTATCTATGATTAGTTGTTAACTTCCACCAGTTCCACCAATAATTCTTATGTAATTTAGCTATGGCAGTAATTTGAAAATGTGTAGGGGCAGTTAGGGAATTAAATGATTTTCACGTGTGAGGTATATCTTGGGAAATAGATCAAATACATCTCGGGAACTATGAGAATAATAAGGTCCAGTATTTCAAGACCTACGATCTCGCTACATGGTGTCTGTATGCGGGATCCACGGCGATGAAACTTCCACGACCAGTTGCTTTCATGGTACACGTGATACTAGATCACCGCTATTCTGTCAAAATTACCAATTTACTATAATACCTTAGTTCTTAATTAAAAAATAAAATTAACTAAATTCGATTTATTTATGGTTGTAATAATTATTAAATGAAGAAGATGGAAGTCAGGGAAGTTTTGGTTCGTACATTAGATGATTGGAATGGGGTTAGTGGGTTTTGGTTATTGTCGGTGACCAAATTAATTTAGGGTAGTTAAATATTAAAATATAGATAGCTTTTTAATTATAATAAGATTTGGCAAACGAATATATATTGAAATATTGGGGGCTATTATCAATAATATTGGAAATTAAAATTTTAATGGGTGGATAGATGACATATCCTTGTCAAGTAGCGATTTGACTTTTGCCAACTCATTTGTTCTTGGGATTTACTTCTCTTGGACTATTGAATATTGATATTTGTCTCTGCTTTGGTCTTAACCATTTATTATATCTTGCATGTATGGAAACTTTCTGATTATTCTATATTAATTAATTGTAACAGGAATGGCAAAATGAGGCAGAGAAGGAACAATTTAGTCCAGTGTCTGTGCTTGACTGTCCATTTGAAGATGATAAAGATAGTAGCTCTCCTTCTTCTCCTTTCGAGCATGGACTTACCCGCATGGAAGGTCTGATTTTTCACACATGCCCATATATATATATATGTATAACGAATTTGGTCGTTACCTATTTTGCTAATGCATTTTACATAATCTCATCAACAGGAACTAAACAAAAGCTTATGCAAAAGATCAGACGATTTGAAACTCTAGCTCACTTGGAACCACTGGACTTGGAGAAAAGAATCGCTTTATCAGAACTTGAGGATGAAACACTTGAATCTCCCTTACAAACCCTGAATAAGAACATATTATTCAATGGCGATGAAGATGAAGCGGAGAAGAAAGTGAGCGAATTTCTTAAAGTGATGAGATCAACGACTCAATCGAATATCTTGATGTGTAAGGCAGACAATCTACTTTCTGACTTTTTTAGAGAATGGATTGAAGAAGAAGATGCAAAAGTGGGTTGCAAAGAATTTGAGCAAGAGTTGTTGAAGGTAGCACAAGATTGGATTACTGGAGAATCCCAAGAATTGTTGATGGGGTGGGAGATTGAAGGTGGAAGAAGATATTATATTAAGGAAATGGAGAAAAATGGGAGGTTTAGGAATGTTAAGGAAGAAAAAGAAGAGGTGGGTTTGGATTTGGAGGTTCAGATTTTCACTACTTTGGTGAATGAGTTAGTGGTTGATGTCTTCATGTAGTCATCAAGTCAACTTTGTTGACTGATTGAGAGACTCAAGGTTGTTTTAGTCATTCTGAATCAGATTAGAGATTAGCTACAGAATAACTAAAGCCACCTTGACTTGAGAAAAATTATTAAATTTCTTAGGAGGATAATTACTTAAATTTTGGAAATCTATATGGATTATTATTATTATTTCTTAAAAATATTTCATGTTTCCGGTCTTGAAAATAAAATCATGGTTCTGTCTAAATTAAAGATTCAGATTGGGTTCGCGTTCGTGTTCGTGTTCGGTGTGGAGTAGATAGGGCTATTCCTTAGCAAGGCTACTCAGTAAGGACGAGAAGGGATCTATAGCAAGGGCAGCGGAAGAAAGGCAGAGTTGAGGTCTATATATACTCTTGTCTAATTTCAAAATGAGCGATGTTAGTTTTACAAAGATACATACAAAGGAGGTATATAAAAATAATCTTCACCCTTGATTTTTATGATTTCTCTCTCTTTTTCTATTTTTTCTTTATTTTTTTCTTTTTGTTGATGTCACTTTGTAACTCTCTTTGTATAGGTTTTTGTAAGGATAACATTTTTCTTTCAAAATAATCATCCTCATCATTTCCAAATCTTTACTTATTTTGATATTTGTTTATCTCCCCCTCTATGTCGAAGGAGGTTTAACCCAAATATTAAGGATGGAATGAAACAAGAGTGAGATAAAATATTAAAAAATGTTACATCTACAATCTCTTCTCACAAATATCATTTCACAACCTTGATATGATACTTCGTCATTGATCCGCTCATAATAGATTTCATCTAAGTCTTACTTGATAAATTATGATTAATTAATTGTGAATTGATATGTCAGAATTATGAAATAAAGTTGGTAAGAAATCGTTAGTATAACATTACTTTAAAATATTATATGAGGCGTAACAATCACATCTGCAACACCCATTACACCTCCTTATATCACGTGTCCAATCATAATATATGTGTTACTAAAATAATTTTTTTTTTAAATATAAATTTCAAGGTTTGAAACGTAGTAAAGAAAATAGGTATTTTATGGTGTAATTATTTCACAGTACGTAATTTTAATGAACAAAATAAACAGCTGCCTCCCTGACTTTCCCATTAACCTCCTTCAAACCCCTTTTTTCATGACCATAAATCTGTCAGTACAGCCACATGATTAACGGCTATTGATTGGATGTATAATTATTTGCAGATGATTAATGTTATTTTTTTTTTAAAATTAATATTACTTTCGAGCAATTTGTATTCAGTTAAATTTGAAATGGAAAATATATTTCAAGGTTTACAAGTCATCAGCATTATTATTATTTTTGTTAAGAATTAACTTTTTAACTAAAATATTTAAAAATTATAAGAATATACCAAGTTCCGAAATGTTAAATCTAATAATATTTTGTTCCTTTTCAAGCTATTTTGGATCTGGGGTCTGTTTTCTTATAATTTTATAAAATATTGTTCTTTAATTGCTTAAATAAAAGAGTAATGTTACGGTCACCTAAGTAGTGCACCGAATTCATGCTCCGAATGACGTGATAAAATTTTGACCATTAATTAATTTTAACTGAATATTAATAGATGATCAAGATTTTACTACGTTATTAGGTGCATAAAATCAGTTCACAATCTTCGATGACTTTATCATTTCCGTAAATATAATATCTGAGAAAGAAATAGTTTCACAATCCAAACCTCTTCCCTAAAAATGAAGATGTGGGATTCGATGGTCAAAAGCCTTTTCCCGGGCCCAATAGTTTAACTCTGTTGTTTAATTTGGAACTGAATCGGCCCAGACTCTACTCCAATAATTATAATTTATTTATTTTCCAGTTGTTTAGGACATTGTTTTTATAATTATATATTTTTAATTTTCAAGCAAAAAAAGAAATTAATTAATTTTGATGACTGTTCACTTAATAAAAATAGCCTTTGAAATGTTGTTGGAGGTAGAAATTATGGTGTGGAGGAAGAGGGAGGCGGCTTTTGGCTTACTAGGTTTGACACGCCTCTACTCGCCCGTTTTTCATCTATTTAATTAATCATTTTTTCTTAAATCTTTAACTATTCAAATGTATTGATGAGACATGGCTTTACTTTATAGAACATATTTTTATTTAAAAGAAAAATTAAATACTAGAGTTTTGACTATGAATGGGTAAGAAGCAAGAAAAGGTGTAACTTAAAGTCTCAATCACCCATTACCATTTGTTTACCTCAACTAAGCATAAGCAATCACATGCTCATGCCACCCTACAAATTCAATTCCCTTCCAAATTGTGATTATTCAACGCATTTGTTTCATTATGGACGGAAAAAACTCTTTCAATCTTCTTAACCCAATTCAAAATCCCACCAATCTAATCCGGGTGAGATTTCAAACCCGTAATTTTCTCTTCTCACGAAAATATGAAAAAGACCTAAAAAATTAAATAAATAAATCCTCCTAAAAAATACACTCAACTTGGCAGGGAGGGTGATGATGCAAGAGACTTGTAAACGTGAAAGGCACATAGAGAGATGAGTCTGGTTTTGTTTGAATTAAAAAAAATCATCACGAGAAACCCAAATGCCACCTTCAAACCAAAATAATTTTTTCTTGGAAAACGCCCTAACTCCTCTTCACCCTTCGTCCGATACCAATTCCCTCTTAAAATCCTCCTACTTTCAAGCTCTCCAAACCAAACTGAAACGCTTTACCACAAAGACTTCCATTATTTAATGTTTTACTTAATTTGTAGAGCACAACTCTTTAATCTTTATATCTCTACCCTTGGATACTTTTCTTCTTCATGTCATCAATCGACTATCTCTTTCTTTAAATCAATTCCTCTGCCATTAATAGTAATACACTAATACTAGTCAAGAACCCACATGCACCACCGCTTCTGCTATTAAGCAGACTATTTTGACTCTCTCTATTTCATTGAGTCGGTCATCAGACATGAAGAACGAAGACCAGGCAAGGTCTCTGTTTGGCATCTCCCTCTCTGATCGACCCAAGTGGCACCAATTCCTTATTTGTTCTTCTGGCTTCTTCTTTGGCTATCTCGTTAATGGCGTTTGTGAGGTTCGTTTTACTTATATATTTTTACCCTTTTTTATGGGTTTTTTTTTGCGCATGCATTTGAGTTTAACTCTGTTTTTTTTTTATTTTTTTTTTATTTCAGGAATATGTGTATAATCGGCTTCAATTCAGGTATATAATTCTCTTTAGGGTTGCAAAGTTTGCAACTTTATGTTATATTTTGATCATATGCAATATTTGTTTGGTAATTTACTTATTAAGTCTTTGATTTTTACAGCTATGGTTGGTACTTCACTTTTGTACAAGGATTTGTATACTTGGTACTCATATACTTGCAAGGTTTCACCACCAAGCAAATGGTGAATCCGTGGAAAACATATGTAAAGCTCTCTGCCGTGTTAATGGGTTCTCATGGATTAACAAAAGGCTCCTTGGCCTTCCTCAACTATCCAGCTCAAATCATGTTCAAATCCACAAAGGTAAACGTGCATACGAGTTCCTAATTTTCTATTAAAAAAAATGTCTAATGCATGTTAAAACGATTTCCTTGATTGATTCTTATGTGATGTAATTTTGATGGCTTTTGCTATTTGTGAATTTTTAGGTACTTCCAGTAATGATAATGGGTGCCTTTATTCCTGGATTGAGAAGGAAATACCCACTTCATGAATACATCTCTGCTCTGCTTCTAGTTGTTGGTCTGATCCTTTTCACCTTGGCGGACGCCCAAACTTCTCCAAATTTTAGTATGGTTGGTGTCGTAATGATTTCGGGTGCTTTAGTTATGGATTCCTTTCTGGGTAATTTCCAAGAAGCAATTTTTACCATGAATCCTGACACAACACAGGTAATCATCAGCATTCATTATTTGAATGTATGAATGAAAGATGTTTTATGAGAAATAAACTATTTCCTCTTCGTGTTATTGATTTCTTTTTTGGTTTTAATTACATTTCTTATGTTAGATGGAGATGCTGTTCTGCTCAACAGTAGTTGGGTTGCCTTTCTTACTTGCACCAATGATTCTGACGGGAGAGCTCTTTAGGGCCTGGAATTCATGTTCACAAGTAAAGAACTATATGCCTTTTTCAAAATTTTCTTTTACTTTTTTTCTGGAAGAAGTTATCTCTGTGTGAATTATACGATAAAGGTATGGAAGTCTGCCGACCTAAACAATTTTTCTAGAAAAAAGTCAATAATCTGTTTGAATGTCCCCTTCACTACCGCTAAACTCATTCAAGAAGGAATATTTTCTACCTTAATTCCAGAGGTTGGGAATAGACCTTATCATTAAACATAAAGTATTGTGAAGGACTTCTTATACCAGAAGATGTGCGAGGATTATTCATGAGTTCTACTTAGATGGACTGAAAATGAAAACCTTGCTTGCTAATCATATGTTTTGTTACATGACAGCAGTGAATCTGTTCTTTTATTTTTCTTACAATGCCTTTTTTAATAACTCTATTTTCGTTTCCAAATGAATTGCAGCATCCGTATGTGTATGGGGTATTAGTATTCGAAGCCATGGCCACATTTGTGGGGCAAGTCTCTGTTTTATCTCTCATTGCCATTTTTGGAGCTGCTACCACTGCCATGGTAATCGAAATTTCTCTGCTTCAATTACATGATTTCACCTTTGCATCAATCATTTTTTTATTGTAGTGATTGCATTCTTGATATTTGAGGTTCGAATGCTACCTAGTATTAGGACATCATTAATGGTCTCATCATTCAAGTTCACTTTTTTAACGGATATTTATGTATTGGGTTGCAGATAACAACAGCTAGAAAGGCAGTAACTCTGTTGCTTTCATACTTGATATTTACAAAGCCGTTAACTGAACAACATGGGACTGGGCTGCTGCTCATTGCTATGGGGATCATATTGAAGATGTTGCCGGAAAATAAAGCCCCCTCTAGGACTCTGAATTCATATACCGTTGCCAAAAACAGGAAATCCTCACTACAGGTAGAGAAAATGTCAGCAGAAAATGAAGAGGATGACGAGAAAAGACCCTTTGTGTAAATTTTAGGAAGCTCTATCTGCCCTGTTGTTGCCTTTTCTTTTTTTTTTTCTCGATTAATATCTTTGCTTTTCTAGTTATAGAGAAGAAGAGAGAAAATAATAGCTAAATGTGATGTAAAGTTCTCCATTGAAAATGATAAAGCATTCTTTTCTTTCAATATTGTGGGAATTTAATTTAATTAGATTAATTACGTTGTGCCAGAAAAAATGGAAATTTTAAGGCAAAGTGAATGTTGTCATAATTACTAAATTAGAGTATGATCTCTCAGCAAATATTTCTTTTTGGGCTTAACTAGACCTATTGCATGAATTCAGATGTGAAAATGCTGGGTCCCATAATCCAGTGGGCCGTGAATGGGCATCCCAGTAAACATTCAAACAGCACGTGGCCCATGTGGAGCTGAACAATAGATGATGGCGGGCCCCTTCATCCAACGGTCTCAATTGAAAGTTCAGTTCCCCACCTGATCCAACGACTGATATCATCTCAATTTTAATTAATTTATTCCCTTTATTTTTTAACCCTCTCTCTTTCCCCGAATCATAGCTGAAACAAAAGAAAACCAAAATTTGACCAAAACCCTAATCTACCCGTTGCTGCTTTTGATTTTTTTTTTTTTTAAATTATTCAGTTACAATCAATAAAATAAAATAATAAAAAAATTCATGAAAGAACGAAACGTTCGCTGCGTCGGACTCGGCATCGGACCCGAACGACACCGCCGTAAGTTTCTTCCTTTTTTTTTTTTTTTTTTTTGCTATTTTCTGGATGAACTATGAGGTGGTTTATACACAGATGAGCTTAATTTCTATACCACGTGGCTTTATTGATGCTGGTTTAAAAAATGTTCAACTTCCATTGGTTAGCTTATTTGTGTTACTATGCGGTTTAGTTACGGTGGATTTCAGCTTATTCGAGAATTCATATAATGTAAACGCAACAAGTTTTTATTTTTAAACATATGTTTGTTTCTTTAGCTTGGTTAAACTTGAGGATTGTTGATACGAAACGGTACTGGAAAAGATAATTTTTTGATTAATTAGTTTGTTTTAGATGCATACATTGAATTACTTCTATTTCATTTTTATTTCATTCTGATATGAAGTCTTATATTAAAATTTTCATTGATGACCCAGTTTCGGAATAAAAGAATACTGGCAGGATCCGCATTTGATTCTCATAGGGCTGAGCCATCCCAACAGCCGTCAACGGAGACACCAGCATTGGATATGCAACGGGCTGAGTCATCCCGTCAGCACGTGAGAGCACTTAATACCCAATTTGCAAGGTCCACTTACCCTATTTCAGTAACTGCAATTTCATAATGAAGTATATGATCATCTTTCCTTCTCTTTGTATGTTTGTACTGCTGGTGTTGGCTTGATAATGTGATCAATTTCATTGTGTATGTTGTCATATATTGTCATAATTGAACCAGTTTATATCTTACTTATCTTAGGTAACATTTAATGTTGTTTTGGTTCTTTGAAAATTTGGGTTTACTTATCTTGTTCGTTGGCGTAGAATTTAATTGAATTTGTTCAACTGTTCCTTTTTTCCACTGTAATTGTATATTGTTGAAGTTTGTTTAATACCTAATATGTCTGTACTTACTTGGTGTGAACAGTTGGGTGCAATCTCAATTAAAGAATCACCCCGAGGAACTTTGGGAAGATGGTGTTCGAGACTACTTGACTCATGCATCAAACATTATGGTAATTTCCAGCAACTGTTTATAGACATGGAATGTTTTTGGGTGCAGTTTAATTACCATTACTCTTTTCTTCTTCTTTGTCCCCGTGATTTGCAGATTGGATTGGATTGGTTTGATTTTTTATATTTGGCTTATGTGTGAGGTATCTACTTAAAAAATGAACTGAACAAACTATTAGTATGATAATCAAGTATACCTGTTTAGGACTTGTTTTGCTACAATGATAAGAATCAGAATGATGATCTGTATTACATTAACACAATCTGGTTAACAATTTATCTTTTAAGGCCATTTTCAAAGTACAGCTTTGAAATTTAGTCCACCTTGTTGGGGGAAATGTTCCTATCACTGTGTTCTACTTGCTGAATTCTAAAATTCTTTGCACGTTCTCAAATGTCATTTAAGCCTTTACACGATACCTTATCAATACGTAATAACATAAATGGGCAGTTGTGACTATTTTGTTAACCCCATGGGTTTTTTTTTTTTTTTTTTTTTTTTTAAATTTGCCCACCTGTTGCAGGAGAAATTCAGTGATGTTGTCAACTGGCTCAAAGCAAATGCTATGAAAGGAGGAAATTCCTCTTCTGCTGATACTCATACTTCTGAAAAAAAATTGGCTCCTGAAATTAATAATAAGGAGGTAAAATCATCTCAGGATAAAACATTTGCTCCAGCAACTATGACTACAAGCTTTGGAATATTCTCAAGTGGTCAACCCAGTCTTTTCTTCGGTGGGTGTTCTATTGTGTTACTTTGATTAGTTGTCTTGTTTAATTTTCAAGACTTTTAAGATGTTACTGAAACATGTCTATAGACTATGATTAAATTTAATTTTTAATTCTAAAAATGTTATGGCAAAGGCCAAATGACTTAACTTTTACTTGAATAACAAAGGTCTAAACATTTTATAATTGATCATAAGAGTACCACCGGTAAATTTTGGTTGACCAAAAGGTTTGTGGCCTGAAAATCCTTTATACCCACACTATATACCTTATGTTGTCCTCAATGTCTTCGAAATGATCTCTCCATAATATATGTCTGTCTGTCTCTAGTGCCTGGAAAATGATGATTTTTTGATAAGAACTGATATTGGTAATCTGGTTTTTTAAGTATTGAATTTAAATGCTACTTTTCGGAGATTGATGTGATTTCTAATATGTTATTTTTATATTTCTGTTTCAGGAAATCAAAGCTCAGTTTTCATGAACCATAATGTTTCAAATAATGTTGACGACGGTGAGATAAAAGACTTATTTTTTTTTTCATTCTTGTCATCGCACTCTGTTTAAGTCATTACTTCTAAACCTTTCATGCATTTCCATGCTCACTTGCATGTGATTTATTTGATTCATCTTGTTCTGTTCTTAAGTTCACAAATTCACTTAGTAAGTTGGCTATCTTAATCATTTGTATCAACATGATGTAAAGGGAAGTGTTAAGCTTTTGGCTTGTTGATCAAAACGGGCAGGTTTGTAATAGAATTCTGTCAACTGTTTCCTTTTATTGTTTAGGCACAGTGCCTCTAGCATGTAGATTAGTTTCCGAATTTCATAGAGAAGGTTATTTTGCTACATCTTAAAATAATGTGAGGATTTGTTTAATTTGTCTTTGTGCTTGGGGAGCAGGGGTTTGATGAAGGAAAAAATATATTTATTTTTGTTTCTTTATGACCTGAAATCACTTATCTCCTTTCACATACGTATTAATCCCTCTTTATGTATCACCAGAAGATGAATTACCCCAGCCTAGCAGCCCATCAGTGAAAAAGTCTGAAGAGAAAGGCATTGTTGTAGTCCATGAAGTCAAGTGCAAACTTTATGTAAAGGTATTTGTTGAAGAAAATTTATACAAGGTTATGCTTGTTGGAACAGTATTTTAATGAAACTTTTTTCGTTTTTTCCTTATTCTGCTATAGCATATGTGCTTTACCAGTATTTTAATAGTAGGAAAATTATTTTTACTGCTACTTCTGCATGGTTAGAGATTTTACTTTACGAGTGATACATATCTTTCTAGAGGCAGTATTTGATGTGTGATTGTATTATGTATCAGATTGCTACATGCATTTTAACTTGCATATAACTATGAAGATTTCCATTTTCATATTTGAATCAAGTTAAATGCTCATTTTATAGCTTAACGAGGTTGTTTTGAATTGTAGTAGATATTAAATAAACAGTTTTAATTAATGCAGAGGCAATGCTTGAATGTGTATCAAAGTGACACATAGTGCATTTGCACAACAAATTAGGGATTTGGCTACAGATGAGTTGATATTCCAACCAGTTGGGAATCTTGACTATTTAAGTTTTGCAATTATTGAAATAGTTGCTTCTATCCTCAGATTCTGTTGCCCTGATCAACTGTTTGTGGTTTTATTTTTATTTTTTCACAGTAGTAAATACTTTTGTTTCCTTTCAAAAAAATCATCAGATTTTGTTTTCAGCTTTGCAACTTATGAAGTATCTGCTGTGTCATCGTAGGCCAAAGAGAAAATATTTGTAGCAAAGGTTTGATGACTAGATTATGTTCTTATGTGGTCTCAATGGAATTATGGGGATGTATATCTTGGCTTAAGACATGTGAATGTTTATATGCTGTATAGATCACTAGCTCTGATGCATAAATTAGGTTGCTAATCCATTGAGGCATATGGTTAGGAAAATGGTAATAGACATCTGCCATGTGTCACTTGGCATCAATTAGATTTGCGGGCTTGTCTGTACAGCATCCATACACATACTTGCCTGCATATGTACCTGTGCTTGTGTATATGTATTGTGTGGTCTATGTTGGTGTATGCATGAGCTTATGTTATGCAAGAATTCAATGAAAACTAGTTTATGAGATGTAGTCCTGAACCAATTCACAAAAACTTTATTTGTATTTATGTCAAGCCATTCCATCTTTGGCTTCATTATTCGCTGGCTGTGGATGGTGTTCTATTGATGGGCACACATTACCAATGGCTTGGTTTTGTTGTTAATTGATGCATTGAAATGGTTTTTCTATTTTGATTGAGATGTCTTTGCTTTGCCTCTTGCTTCACCTGAGACATGGTGTTTGTTCCGACATTCTCACTAGTAAATCTATTTGTTTTCTTCTTTTGATATGTCCAGTCAAGTGATCCTGCTGATAAAGATGCATGGAAAGATAAAGGCACTGGGCAGCTTTCCATTAAATGCAAGGAGGGTATCAGCAAGGGTACAAAAGGGTCCAAACCAACTATTCTTGTTCGAAATGATGTATGTTTCCTTATTGATTCAAATTCATGTTAGAGTGAAACTTGGGTGCTTTGTTTATTTCTTGGTGGCTTGTTGAATCTAGGAGTGGAATGCAAATTATTATTGATTTTTATTGACTGGTAATGACATACCATGTCTATTGCCATTTAAGAAAAGCTGGTGGTTGGCTAATTTTTTTCATTAATAATACAACATAATACTTGGAATCATCTCTATTAACTGATCAATTGAAAGGGAGAAATTGAAATTTTGTATGTTAGATTCTTTTTTCTTAGTATTGGTAGAGAACTGTAAAATGGGTTGATAAATTAGTCGATTGCTTCAAGCAATGACACTATTCAGCAATTTCTAGTGGAAAATAACCAAACTATCTTATGGCTATATCAAATAGGTTCAGGTAGAGCATACTTTTTCTAAGGGGGTTTTGAATTGTTTTGATTCTTATATTTAATAGCTTCTGGCATCTTAAAAATAATGAAATAGCTTCTAGCAAGGTCATTCTGAAGCAGCTCTGCTTGAAAAAGCTGCGACTATCAGATTTTCATGGCATTGTTGTCATGAGCAGTTTGAACCGTTGCCACTTGTCACATTAGTGTTGTACATGTGCTATTCTCTGTTTTCCTCAAACTTTCCTCCCTACCCTCCCTCAAACATACTGACAACAGTAACAACAATAAAGAAAATGGCCTTGTCTGCAATCAAATTGAATTTGATTTTCAATTTAATATACCATTCATACAATTAGATGTGGGAATGTTTTCTTATTTGAATATTTGGTATCTAATTGTTTCTTGAATAATTATATGTGGAAATAGGTAATTTGGATTTTTTTTCTTAAACAAAATTCCCTCTTTTATGTTCATTTTCTTTACAGTACCATGTTTGCCCCTGTTTCTGGAACATCTTTTTTGACTTTTCATATTTCCCCCTTTTTCCCTCTTGTTTTAACCATTCAAGATTGCATTTATGATTTTTCTTAACCAGATACATAATTCTACTCTCTGTAATGTTTCTTGTGGCAGGTTGGAAAAGTGCTGCTTAATGCATTGTTATATCCGGGAATCAAGACAAATTTACAAAAGAATTCCCTTGTTGCAATATTTCATACTTCGGTAAAACATATTGATATGAATATTGCATATTTTAAGATCAATCAGTTATAATGGACAAACATGTGCATTTTCTTCCCCATTAAATTGTATGAACCTAAAGTCATTTTGGAGCTTCTTTTGTCGCTGAAATCATAAAATATGGAAAATATATATAGCAAAAGGAATTTGTCTGTGTAGTCTCTGAAATTTATTCTTAGTTCACGTTATTATAGAATAGATAAAAATAAATTCTATTATGTGGTAAAATGTTTGAAAGCGTGTGAAAATCTGTCAAAAATCATTTAGGAGAGCAAGATGAGTCATTCAGGCCTGAAATGAGCTGTTTAACCATACAAGGAACTTACACATATGCAATTAGAAGTATTTTTTGTAGCGTTTATGGAGTAAACAAATCTTGCAATTAATGGCTGATAACTTGCTTGGGTTTTGTAGAGTGACGACACTGGTAGTAATGATAATGGTACCGTTGTGGCACGTACTTTCTTAATCAGGACAAAAACAGAGGAGGATCGAAATAAGCTCGCAACAGCAATCCAAGAATATGCCCCGTCTTCGTGAAAGTAAATTAACATAGGTGATGCAATCTTTTTATTTATTACCTTTAGCTTAAGCAAATGTAATGATTGTGCTGGATGAATGGCATTTGTCCTTATTTTTATTTTTTAAATTTTGCAAAGTCTGTCATGTTAAGAAATGAGGCAGCATTTGATGCTTAAGAAGCAACGGGGGTCAATTTCTTAAGTCGGACTTGACTAAATTATTGAACGTTTAAGAGGCTATAGCAGGTAGCTGTATCATAAGAGAATAGTCAAAGTGATGAATACTTTGCTGCATAATTTAAGCTAAACTTTTTTTTGCCTTTTTGCCTTTTAATTGCTGTATACACAGTGTGCATGATAAGAGAAAATTTTGGGGTTTTGTTCACCCGTTTGTATTGTGCCACTGCCAGTGTCTTTGATTGGTTTCTGTAAACTTTTTTCTCCTGAATGAAAATTCCGGCAACGTGAGATGGATTAATCTTTGCGGACACTTTGAAGTTTATTTCAAGCCCAAACCAAGTATCAAGCAATAGGACTGCTGTACTGCGATGCTTCTGATGGGTTTTCTTATTTTTTAAGAAATCATATTCATTCAGCCCCAATGATGGTAATGGTAAATAAATAAATAAAAAGAGAATATAATTACTTTATTGATTTTATCTGAAAACTTGACAAATAGACACTAAACCTGAATCTTATATTTTGCATATATGACAATAAAGCAGACCTGGGATTGCCGTTGAGCATGCCTTCTCACATCCCTCGACAACTTCAGGTTTCATTTTAACTTATTGAATTTGTTCATTCAGATTCTGTGCTTAATCTAATTTGAGCTGGCATCCAAATCTATCCACTGTTTAATATAATCATAACTAACGTGAAATATTCTTCTCTATAATTGCTGCATGTTTTGGTGTTTAATTAGCTGAAAATATCTTTTATTGACGGAGTTAAATATTAATATTAATTTTATTTGATGATATTTTTACAGTTGATCTGACATAGCAAATTACATTTTTCTAAGAGATAGAAAAGTTATCCAAACAAGATGTGACAAATGGAAATGGCATTCTCTGCTATTTTCATTATGAAAAAAATTAGAGATTGAACACTCTCAATCAGTTCAGTTATACTATTACTAGCCTCAAAGTTACACTTTTTTTTTTTTTTTAATGATTAGGATGTTCGGACCAACTTATGCATGCCTACAAACCCAATGTTTTACAATAAACCACAAATATGTGATGGGTGACTCCAAGAAGTCAATGAAAGCAAACATTCTTGACCACCAAAACAACCCTTGGATTTCTCAAAGTTACACATTACAAGAATTGCTTGCTGCTCATAAAAAATATTTTCCAAATAAGAAAAGCATCATAACTCAACCACACCATTTTCAACTAAACAATACAGGCCCTGTACACCAGGAGTTCAGCTTCTCAGATACACCAATTCTGTCAGTGTCAGTGTCTATTGATCTTTCTGGCTTGTACTTTTTAGCAGACAAGCGATAATCTAAGAGATGGGGCAGTTGGGATGTGTGTGCATGATGCCCAACGTATCACTGATTCAGTAACCATGAGATTAAGCTGATCAAACTCACCAAGTCCAATTGTGTGATTCCTTTTATTGTGGATGCCTGAAACCCTTGAACCCAAGATTCCAGTCCTCCGAATTTCTGTTTCTCCTGATTTGCGCTTAACAGGAAATGTAGAATCCGGTAGCACAAATAGCTTTCCCAAGTTTGATTCTGCATCTGTAAAACAAAGACAAAAAAAACAGCTAAGCATGCCTCACTCATCTCATGCACAGCAGTAATTTAACAATTACTAGAAATCACCATACCCACTATGTTACAGTAGGACAACTGCCAATCTATTTATTAGTTACCTAAATTTTATTAAAACCAATGTCATTATGAAGTGATGATAATCCCAGAAGTGAAACAAAAAGGCAGTGCTTTTTCTTTGGAAAAAAGTTTTTGAGCTTTTTTGACCGAGAATTCTAACATTATACCATAAACACAAAAAAAAAAAAAAAAAATGTGGCAAGGAATAATAAAAACATATATACCTCCATGTTCTTCATCCAGTTTTGACATGTTGACCCTAAATCCTAAGGAAAGATTTCCTTGTTCAACAGCAGAACTTGGGCTGAAGAAAGTGAAGCTTGGCATTGATGGAATTGGAGATGAGAAGTCTGGTGTGCTCGATTCACAGCAGCTGCTAAAGGAAAATCCTCCATATCCAGAGCAAGGAGTACTGTCATCAACTACCAAAGTAGAAAATGATGATTTACAAGTAAATGCAGGTGACTGTCCCAGTTGACCGTCACTGAAGCTGTAGTCCTGTTTCCTAGTGACAAATGAGGCAGAAAAAGAACCTCCATCCGCTTCCAGCTCTTTACAACACCGATCATCCTGCCTGAATGGTCCTTCAGCTCCTTGTGCACAATCCTCCATCCAGGAGTGGGCTGCAGAGGAAAGCATCCAGTATTTTAGGCAAATGTTCGGAAAAAAGTGCATATTGCCTGGCATCTGAAACAAACAACACTTAACATGCAGTACCAAGAGGTACTAGTTCCATAATTATACTAGTCAAATACAGCAATCAACTAACACATTATACCTATTAAAAATATGACTTCATGTCAGACTTTTAGTTGATAAAACCCCAAACTGGGAAAACTATTTATGAGTGAAACTTTTTTTTTTTTTTTTAATTTGTTCTTTCATAGAAATAATCAAATCGACAATCGAGTCTCTCGAAGGCGGACTAATATGCAAGCCAAGCATCTAGATGGCTTTCATTTGATAGCCCAAGTGGCCGATTTAAATGTCTTGAGAGCCTCTTCAAAACATATTTACTCAAATATGGCGACATTTATTAACTTGCCAAAGGAAATGCCTCTGTATGCTAATAATCCAAAATAAATCATTCCATAGCTGAGTTAATTTTACATCAATTATATTCCCTTAACTACAACATCTATTCTTTTGATAGTAACTTGTAATCCAACTGTCATACACTAAGAATCTCTAACACACACAAAGGTTTAACCAACATACCAAGAACCTCTGCCGCCGAGAGCCTCTTGGAAGGATCTACTCGAATCATGCCCATGATCAGATCCCTGGCAGATTCAGAGATGTGATCCCAAGGATCAGACGGGAATCGTAGATCTGCAGCCCTAACAGCATCAAAAATTCTTGACTTAGTCTTTCCCCAGAAGGGAGGCATCCCACTAAGAAGAATGTACATGATAACCCCAGCACTCCACACATCAGCAGCTTCATTGTAACCCCCAGCTAATACCTCTGGGGCTATATAAAATGGACTCCCAACAGTCCCGAGCAAATTCTGGCCTGTTGCCATGAAACCAACATGCTAAGAATAAGAAAATTTCTAACCTGACTTAAAATTGCAATATACACTGAATGATACAGAAAGTTATAGGCCTTACCAGATTTTGTGTAGGTTGCAAGACCAAAGTCTGCTAATTTGATTGGAGAAGATGAAGATGTTGTGGCCAAGAGAATGTTTTCTGGCTTTAAATCCCTATGAACAATACCATTGTCATGACAATACTTAACGACTTGCATCAATTGCCTAAAAATTACTCTAGCCTGAATCTCAGGAAATCTCCCATATTTCTCAAGTCGGTGAAATAGCTCTCCACCTGCACATAATTCCATCAACAGATGTACATATTCCTTCTCCTCATAAACTGCTTTGAGGTCCACAACATTAGGGTGCCCTGATAACCTGGCCATAATTTCAATCTCCAGCTTGACACTACAAACATCATCCACCGTAACCAACCTATCTTTAGCAATTGACTTGCATGCCAAAACCTCGCCAGTAAACTTATCTAAGCATTCTCTAATGACACCAAATTGACCCCATCCTAACTGCTTTCCAAGAACATACTGATCACTCAAATTTGAGATCTGGGTTGCGTCCAAAATAGCTTCATTAAGGTTCGGAACTTTGTAACAATTATGGGATTGTGTTGAAGACCGGGTGATTTCATCACCACTGGTTATGTCCATAACAATGACACACAACTCTACCCACAAACAAAGACCAAGCTTTTGAGTTTCAATACTACCTAACCACCATCTTTTATGCTCAAAGGTCAATGTCACAAGCAAAAATGGTTCAGCTCAATTCCCATGAAAACAATTTCACTGAACCAACTTTCAAACTGACTTAGCCCTCCATCGTTACTAGACTCTTATTACGAACAAAGCCTCCAATTTCCAAAGTAAAAAACTGGCGGTCTTCAATGTTCTTGCATCTATCAGCTAGTGCACAAAATTATATTTCACAATTTCAGATTAACTTGCTTAAACCCCATAATTCTATATTCTCTTTTATTTTATTTCATATTTCTTATGCTTTCAGTTAAATCATACTTGAAATTCTATAACATAACATTTACAACAGAGAAAATAAAGACAGTCCACTTTTATTTCAAGCTTGTCCACAAATCCAGAACAAAACACACAAAACAGAACCTAAACAATAGAACTCAAACTCACCCACATGAGAATTTTCAAACTAAAGTAAGAAAAGTAAACTTTTTCAATTTGACCAAAACGAAAAACCCAGAAACAAACATATACTTTTGTCACCAAAACAGAATCACAACCCGACACAAAATAAATACCAAAGTTGAAATCTTTTTGAACTTTAACAAACGAAACATATAATGCATCAAACAACAGACAGTAGCCATTTACTTAGAAAGACAGAAACTGACCTGTTCGAAGAAACATTCAAGAACAACAACAAGAACAACTCCATCACCACCACTTCAAAACTCGAAGTCTTTGGTTTCTCTTACCAGTTCAAAAACTCTTCTTTACATTTTACAGGTAACCGGAAGAACCAGTTCTTTTTAAAATAATAATAAATATTTTATAACTACTTTGGTACTTGAGAAATATTGAGCAATACTCAAAAAAGTTATAGTCTGAGTATCACCCAGACGCTTGCTTAAACGTGTCACGGACTTACACGTTTTGTCATATTAAATTACAAATTTACCCCCACGTGCACACATGTGCAATTATAATGATCTTACAGGATGGATAGTGTGTTATTGGTTGTTTAAAATTGAAGGAACCTTCTCTTACTTATTTTATCAAAAAAATAGATAATTTAATAGTAAGTGGGGAGTGGAAGCCAGAAGAGCAGCCATGGGTGGATGGCCATGATTATGTCCTCATAATTCTGGGGTGAATATAATTGGCTGAAAATATGCATATTGCTTTATCATAATTCATATAATAAGAAGATGGATAGCAGTTGTAGGGAAAGAGGAGGTAAATGCTAATTCCAGCTGTGATTAGCTGTAGAAATACGTGTGCATATTTAATTTAATCAAATAAATTGTATGAGATTATTCCCTAGATATTTTCCTATGGTTTCATTTAATAAATTATTAAAACTTTGGATGGTGGTATGGGAAAAGAGGATATGCCAAACTTGAAAATAAAGAGGAGCAGCCATACTTAAACTTTTCATGACTTTTGACAACGCCTGAATGAATCTTCTTATCCACGTTTAGAAAGAGTTAAATGATTCAAATGCACTAATATATATTATCAGTGAAAGAGACATTGACCCGTGGAAGGAACAATTTCATCCCTCAAGTTTGCTAATAACATTGACATATTTACTAGACCTGGCAAATGGGCGGGCGGGCATACACGGGCCAGGTAGACACGGGCACGTGTAAAACGGGCAACATATGCATGACTCATACCCGCCTGTGCAGGTACGGGTCAACCTGCAGGTCACCCGCATATAATGTCATTTTCTGTAAATTTTTATTTTTACAGGTTTTTGTTATTAATTGCAATTTTTCCACTGTTTTTTGTTTTTCAAATTACATACTTGAAGATGTAAATTGCACTATTTAAAAACTTGGTATAAAATTCATTTATTAAGCTTTCATAACTTGGTTAATTTGATTAAATAAATTGATGATTAAATCAAATTTGATTAGATTTCACCAAACATCATTAATTCATTATCAATATTTTTCATATTTATATCAAACTTCACCATATATAATTAGTAAACACTAAACACTAAACATACATAATAATTACTAATTAGTAAACATTATACATATAAAATTGTTCAACATTCAACATACATACATAGTAAACACTAAACAATTAAACATATAAAATTATTCAACCAAACACTAAACAAACAAAGTCTATCACACATTGATGATGTTAGCAGCTGCCCTTGATTCTGTAATCTCCTTCTCCACTGGCGCTTGGCTTAATGGCACAACAAGCTGAGCATCATCAATTTTATCTTCTACAATTAATAAAATATAAGTTAACTATCGTAATATATTAACAAACTAAAATATTAAAACATGTAAAATATAAGTTAAAGTGTTACCTTTAACTTCATATCCAGAAATCCATGTCCTAGTGCATATCAAAGACTGTGCATTCTCCAGTAAAAGTGAACTTCGATATTTACTGAGCATTTTGCTACCAACACTGAAACTAGACTCCGAAGCAACAAGTGTTATTGGTATACTCATCACATCACGGGCCATCATGGAAAGTATCGGGTATCGATCACTATTTTTCTTCTAATGGTCTAGGATATCCAGATTGCAAAATTTGATGTGATCAAACCTTGCCTCTCCCAAATAAGTATCCAATTCGAACTTCTTAGTACTACTAAAGTCACTCTTATGGTAGTCAAATTCCTGCACCATTTAAATATTTAAATTTAATAAAGCAAAATTACAAAAAAAAAAAAAAAAAAAAAAAAACCTTATTAATCACAAGAATATAAAAATATATAGGGAATAGTGACTTACACAAATATCATATCCAAGGATATTAGGACTAGTAGTTTGTACCCAAGGATCGCCGAGAACCTCATTGCAATATAGACCCTCATAAGCAGCAAAAAACTTATACAACTCCTCCTTGACTAACTCCAACTTTCTTGATGCAACTATTGGGTCATCAACTTTTTTGTAACAAAACTCAACAAACTCAAACTTGAAACGTGGGTCCAGAATTGCTGCAATAGCTAACACAACGCTATAAGAATCCCAATATTTGTCAAACTTTACTTTCATTTGACTTGCCATGGTACTAACAACTTCATCCTCATTTTTCATCTCTTTGTATAAACGCACTTGAACTCTTCACACATTTATGAGGTACAAGTTTGCTGTGGGAGATTGGGAACCCAAAAAAAGAGTAGTGATGACATAAAATGGTTGCAAGAACTTGCAAATCCTCACCCCCCCCCCCCCCCCCTCCCCTAATCCCATTCTTCATCTGAAGGACAATTTTTATAATTGAGATTTATTAGTGACAAATGAACAAACACACGACGGTATATTAACGCACTTTCAAACATTAAATAAGTGGAACTCCATCTTGTGGGAACATCCATTCGCAATCCTTTTGAGCTTATCACACCAATTTGTTTAGCAAGTTCTCCAAACTTGATTCTTTTAGCCTCACTTCCTTTAACACATTTCACACTTTCACGAATTTTATGTAAAGCCATGCTAACCTTTAACCCTTCTTGGACTATGAGATTCAAGATATGTGCACAACATCACACATGAAAAAAAAGAACCACCATATAATAAAGCATTTTGCACACAAAGTTGACTCCTTAAAATGTCTTCCATCTTATCATTTGTAACACCCACATCAAGGTACGCAATTTTATTTATGCCCTAACACCCTTAGTTGGATTTCTTTGAAGTTACCTTAGACAAATATAAAGGAAATTCCTTAAAACTTCATACTTATTGAGTAATTAGTGCTCACTCCGTTATTCTACTGTTTTGAAGGTACTTGATGATTTACGATCAGGTGAGACGTCAAGAAGCGGAGGAGTTTGGCGGCACTGTCCAAGACTACTTTGTACTTATTAAAGTATATCAGTTATTTTGTGTATATATTTATATGAAGTAAAATTAGAATTTTGGATTTTACATTATATACCTCTATGTATATATGTTTGCAAAAGTTATTTAGTGGATTTTATCATATATTTCTTAAAGAATTACTAGCTAGACAGTATATTACATCATTATTACTTGCATTGTCTAATGTAAGAGAGAAGACTTTCTTTTCAATCCCCCAATTTTTTAAGATATCATACACTATTTATGACAAAAGAGCCCTTGACCGTGGAGGAGGAATATGGCAAAAATTAATAATTCTACTTTGTAACTCCCAATTCTCATCAACATAGTGAGCCATTAAAGAAATGTACCCATCAGTAGTACAAGAATTACAAGTATCAGAAGTCAAGCATATTCTACCCGGAACCTTTCTAAACAAAGCTTAATCTTTTCCTTGTCCCTATAATATATCTTTTAACAATCTGCCTTAGCGGTGTTCCTAGTATAAGGCTTAACTTCATGATTCAAATACATGTGGACATCCCTAATTCCTTCATGCTCCACTATTGAATATGGGTAATTATGTTTTATGATTCCTATTGTCATCTTCTCATGATAAATCTCTTGAGAAATCCTCAAACGTCTCAATTTAGTATCACAATCCATCATCAATTGATCTGCACTACTAATGGTACGTTTAGAACAACCTTTCATATGGTGCCTCAAATTCTTAATCCCATGAGTGGAATTACCATATGCATAAGACTTACTACAAATCAAATATCTTGCCTTCACATTCCAATTCCCATTCTCTTCCATATATGTTGTAAATCGACCCCAAACATCTGAAACTTTAAGTTTTTTTGGACAAACAGTACTAGCACTAGAAGGAGATTGACCTACAGTTACATTACGGCCCGTTTATATTGCCTCATTAAACAAATCGGTAAACTCCTCCATGCCAAGCCAATCTAAAGGACACAACAGAGTATTTATATTTAAATTAATTAACCAATCATAACAGTTCATCCAAAATAAAAACAAAACACTCCCATGTATTTTACAAGCAAACCAGCCCTACCAAATGGCTGGATTTTTCCAACTCAATAGTCAACACTTCTCAACTACTCAACTCAAAAAACTAAAAACAGTAAGTTTTGGGACAAACTAACTTGAGTATAATTCAAATCTCAGAGGGCTCTTCTACAACTTAGTATTGTCAGAACTCTAAAATGAAACTAACCTGCAAAACAATAGTTATTACTTATTAGTTAACATCTATGTTGAGTTATTAAAAATTAACAGATGCAGAATAGATCAATTTATGAAACCATAAGGGGTTTATCAACTATTGTATATCTCTGGGGATTTAGAATATTTTTCTCATAAAACACATACAATCTTTATATAAAAAATGTACTACAATAACCATGTGTATAATTAACATATACAGGTAATCATGTTTAATAGTTTGATCTACATTAAAAATGAAGTTCAGGGAAGCATGTACAATTTAGATGATAACATAATGCCAAAGTCTTAATCATTGAGGTGATCATAAATAGCAAATTGTTTACCAATATATCAACAAAATTGTTTACACAACCTACATTAAATACATTTATCAGTATCACACATGTTAGAATTATTATTGTTTGTTTAATCAAAGTTTGACAAAAAACAGGGGAGTGGAAATAGAGGAGCTATGTTTTGCTTTCTTTATTCTCTTATTTGATTCATAAAAATGGTTGTAGGATATATGAAAACTCATTGTTTTACCTCCCCCCTTTTTGCAAACATATATGTATTATACAACACTAGCAATTTTAGAACCTTGCTCATTCTTTATTATACTAAGATGAAATACTTTACTTCATATACTGATGTCTAACATTAATAGAAATTCAAAATCATACAAAATACTCAATGCTCACAATGCAGATAATGCATCAAAA